TTTTGCCATGGCTGTGAAAAGTTGTTTGCCATTTGTGCTATGGCCTGCATTTTTCATTGACTCCAATCAACTTTAAATTACCTTCCTTTGGTCTCATCTAGCAGCTGCTGGATTGGTGTCCCTTAGTCTCTTGCTAGTTTTAAGAAGTCTTTCTTTTCAAGATTGCTAACCCTAACCCTGTCTTCTGGATGAGATTCTGGCTCATTCTTGGGCAGTGCTGTCAATGGCATTTTACTCTCCTGGCTATCTGCTTGAATCTGTCCCTTTCTTTTCCCTATGTGGGGCATTCACAGCTTCCACCAGTTAGCTCCTCTCTCTCCTCTTTTACGATGTGTACCTGCTCTATTCATCGTAGTTTCTCTTCTCTCTGTGGGCTTCAGTTCTCACCTGAGATCCTCCCTGGGTCCAGGGGCCCACGTCCCTCCTCCTTCCTCACATGCTGTATTCCGGTTTCTGGACAGCAACTCTTGAGAGGCTTCCTCTGCTGCCTACCACTCCCTCCTCATCCTGAAAGCCTTTCCCTGTTACCTTTTGTTTAGCTCATCCAATTGTTTATACTTTGGGTTTCTGATGGATGTAAGAGAAATCGGGAGATTTGGGCTGGTGTGTCAGAGTTGGTTCACTTAATGTGTCTCAAGTGCATCCACTTTCCTAGGGATGACTCACAGGTACCACTCTTTCCAGGAGGGTAGTACTCTATCAGCTTTTCCTTCACAGTTTTTCGTTCATTAAATCACTTCCTACCCTGAGATCTAGAATGTATTCATCAGTATTTCTCTGAAGGGCTTCGATCCTCTTTTGGCACACAGGTCCTTGCTCCTCTGGAGCTGCCGTGGATTCGGGGCATGGAGAGGATGAGTTCCCCTTTTCTCACCTCCCTTCTCCGTCCTGGTCACCGCAATCAGAGTTCACACGTGACCAGGTCTGTGTCAGGGTGCTCACTTCTCTCCTACATTCCGTCCCTGTCTGTTCCTGAATCAGATGGTTACTCTTATTAGCTTCATAGTGGCTTCTACCTGATAGAAAATAAAAGCCCCTTCTACTTGTTTTCTTGTTCAGAAGAGTTGTATTATTGGCCCGCTTATCTTTCATTTAAATTTTACAGTTTAAGCATTTCATCCAAAAAATCTATTGAGATTTTATCAGAAACCCTGTTGAGGTTTTAGCAAAATCTGAAATCTGGAATTCTGATAGAAGAATCTGAATATTCGCATCCAAGAATGTGGTATACCTTTCCAGGTTTTATAACTTTTCCTACCGAGGTCCCGAACTTACATTTATTTTGAATTTTTTAAAAATCCATTTTATTTCAAAAACAAAAGTTTTGAAACACATCAGTGGGGCAGCAATGGTACATGCATCATGCACTGTCATCCTGGTCTCAGCATGTGGTCCAGGTTGGCCTTGAATTCCCAGCAAGCCTACCTCAGCCTCCCAAGTGCAGGGATTACCAGTAGGCATGTCTCAGTGTACAGATCCTCAGTGTCTTGTGCAGAGCCACTGAGCTGTCCCGCTGGACATTTTTTGTTGGCATTTCTGTGGTTTTGGCTGGTATGAGACAAGGTGTCATGCTACAGTCCAGGCTCACTTTGAACCCTCTATGTCGAAGAGGTTAGCCTCAAACTTGAGGCAATCCTGCCTCTGCCTCCCGAGTGCTGGGACTACAACCATAACCCACTGCACCCAGATCCAGGGACCTCAGTGACTGTGCTTTCCTTTTGTGAATGGGTCTCACTATGTATCCCAGACTGGCCTGGAATTTGCAGCAATCCTCTTGCCTCAGCCTCATGGATCACTGGTGAGATTACAGACTTGCACAACCATACTTGGCTTGATTGCGCTTTTGAGCTCCAGATTTGCTATTTTATTTATTTATTTTTGCTTTTTCTTTTCTTTTTTTTTTTAATAGGGCTTCACTATGAAGTTTAGGTTGGCCTTTATTTTAGTTGCCTTTTGAGATAGGGTTTCCATTTGTAGTTCAGGCTGGCCTTGAATTCAAAGTGATCCTCCTGCCTCAACCTCCTGAGTATTGGGACTGTGCACCACCATGCCTGGCTGTTTTGGTTCTTGCAGTAAATTTATGCAGTCAGACTTTTCTCTCTAGTAAGGCTGATGATAGGGCTTCTTTAAATACTATTTTTTGTTTCGGTCCCTGGTGTAGCGGGGCTGTGCTTGCTTCCCTTTCACATCTACATTTCCTGCTGAACGTAGACACTGTAACGTGATGTGGCAACTCTGCAAATTATGTTCCTCCCTCCCTGTGCTGGGTTTTGGCTTATAAAGTTTAGTGGCTTTTCAAAACTCCCTTATGGCCTGTGTTCCTGAAACACGTGGCCTCTGCAGTCTCTGTCGGGTTAGTAGTCATCACTGAGGACTGGCGAGTAGGTGACACCTGCTGGCAGTCCACAGCGGCCCTGCAGCCTTCCTGCCTGACGGACCCCAGGGCCGCTGCCCTGCTCACAGGTGTGTATGAGTGACCTCCAGGACCCAAGCCCCTGGACAGCCTGCTCCCAGCTTTTCCTCCTACACTTTAAAACTCCTCAGTTAAGCAGCATTATGTAAGGTCACCACTGAGTGTCCCAATGCTACCAAGAAAAGGTCTTGAGCCCGGGGTCTTGCCATGCAGTCCAGGCTGACCTCGAACCCCTTTCCTGCCTCAGCCTCCCAAGTGCTGGTTACAGGTGTACACTACCACACCCACACCCGACTAGCAAAGGCTTTTCTCAGTATGCACACAGTGTTCTGTGAGCTCACCTTGTAGGCAAGTCCTGGGGCGACCAGAAAGACCACATGCAGCTCCCCAGAAGGGGCTTTGGGCGTGAAGAAGCCACATAGTCCGCGGGAGCCCCTGCCTGCTCAGAGTTCTAAAGACTCTGACTGTGATGATTTCCACCTGTTCTCCCTTCTCCCTGACATTTCCCTTGCAGTCACCCTGAAACCATCGATGTCTGCTCTTTCGATGAATTCTTCCTCTGTACCCTTTTGGAAACTTGTTACTATTTTAAACCTCGCCAGGCATCCAGACGTGCACTTCTCACCACTTTATGAGCTCTTTCACTGAGACACCCCCCCGCCCCACGCCAGCAGACTTTCCCATGATAAAGCCTTTTAACAAGTTCTCTGTGCAGGGCTCCTGCTATTAGCCAGATCTTAGCCCTTCTCCTCCTGGCTTCTATGCATCTTAGGGTTTTGTCGTCTGTGGTACTCCACAGAGATTGAACCCAGGGCCTTTGCCCTCAGTCACATCCCCAGCTAACCCTTTGCCTTTTTTTTTTTTAGTTATTTTAGCCTGGGTCTCAGTAAGGTATTGTGCAAGTGGGATTCAAACTCTACATAACCCTCCTGCCTCAGTTTCCCCAGCACTACAGCCAAGTGTCCCACTCCCAGCACTTATTTCTGGAGACATTTTCTCACTCTATTATACTGACGCTGAACTCATTCTGCAGCCCAGGCTGATCCCAGGCTCCCAATCCTCCTGCCTCTGCCTCCTGAAGTGTCAATGTGGGCCTGCGCCACCACGCAGCCCATTCTCCCCTAACTCCCGTGAGCCATGGCTACTTCCTGCTCTAGGCTAAGTACCATGTTACATGTTAAACCCCAGGTTCCATTTTCAATTTTTCCTTGTTTTTCTGGGGCTACCCTGGTGGCCTGTTTGGTTTTGAGATACCAAGTCATGGATGGTGTGTCTGAGTTCTAGACTGATTTGTCACAGTACACTGGTTTGGACTAGCTAATTTGTAACATTTAATTTGATCTACAACTTCTTTTACTAGATTAAAAATGTCAATGTTTAAAAAAAAAAAAAAAAGAAGCTATCCTGAGCAAAAAAGCCTGGGGCTGGGGGGTAGAGGTGTAAACAGCTGGAAGGGCCGGGAATGTAGCCCAGTGGCACAAGCACTTGCCTGGCAAGCACAAGCTCCTGACTTCAATCCCTGGTGCCCAAGTTTCCCTGGACACCCCAGGACCTGGGGCGAGGGACAGACCGGCGATTAATGATACAAAATGCAGACAAATTTCACACATATTGGGGCTGGGCGGGACCCAGTTATATGTCTGTAACTGGCACTCAGAAGGCTAAGGAAAGAGGATCAAGGATTACCATGTTGGAGGTGTGAATGAGGAAGTTCCACAGGTATGAATGCTTGTCCCAGCACACCCAGCCTACACTGTTCTTTACTGTTTACTGTTCCTGTGAAGCTGACATTTCTCAGAGGTCCACAGGGAAAGCGTGCCAACAGCACTCAAGGTGCCCAAGGGACCTGCCAGAGCACTGCCTGTAGTGCAGGGGCACGGTGTGTGCACCTCACTGTAAATACAGCATCCAGTTCCCGATATGCCACACAGGCCACCCTGGCGCCCAGGAACCCCCGTGTGTTCTGTACCCTGGCACTCTGCTCCAGGCTCACCTGCTTAACAGAGCCATGAAATGACCACTCACACCTGCTTTTCTGGGTGTTCTGAGCCCTGGTGTTCTTTGCAGAACTGGTCATGGTACCCACGGGGCTACATTTCCAGTTTTGTTTTGTTTGAGACAGGGTCCCACTTCGTAGTACAAGCTGGCCTTGAATACATTGAGCTGCACTGTGACCTCAAAGCAATCCTCTTGCCTCAGCCTCCTGAGCACTGGGATTATAAGTGTTTGCCACACCAGAGCTGCCAAGCCTGGCGTTGAACCTGCAGTCCTCCTGCCTTAGCCTTCCTGAAAGCTGGGGTTACAGGGGTCTGCTTTCCTGACCCACCCCAGTGTGGGTGATGGATGCCTGATGAGATTCAGCCCAGCCATTTAGGTGAGGCCCTAAGCCTCCTTGGCAGAACCAGCTGAGCACACCCAGTACACCTCTCCCCTCTGGTTCTGCTTTTCCAGGAGCCCCTTCGGGCCCCCAGGCATGTGACTGGGCTATGACACAGGCACCTGGGAAGGCAGGACAGCCATGGGGGCCCAGAGGGGCTGGAGGCCTCACTGGTACAGGGGCACCTGATGCACCCTGTCCCCTGCTCAGTTCGGGGGCAGCCCTGTGTCCTGCGCAGTAGGGCTGGCCGTCCTAGACGTTTTGGAGAAGGAACAACTTCAGGCACATGCCAGCTGTGTGGGTAGCTTCCTGATGGAGCTCCTCCAGCAGCAGAAAGAGAAGCACCCCATCATTGGGGACGTCAGGTGAGCTGCGTGGACAGGTGCTTCTAGGGAGGGGGGCTAGTGCAATCTGTGCCCAACTGTGGCCCCTCCCCCTCCTGTCACTCCCTGGACTGCCCCGTCCTCTCTGGGGGCACACCAGCTCCAGCCTGATGGGGCTCAGGCTTGCCCAGACAGATTGGCCTCCTGACTTGGCCTCCTCCCTCCAGGGGCGTGGGGCTCTTCATTGGCGTGGATCTGGTCAAAGACCAGGCCAAGAGGACTCCAGCAACGGAGGAGGCGGACTACTTGGTATCCAGGTACTTCCAGAACCGCTTGGCCATCTTGAGCAGGGAACACCCCACCATGAGTGCTCCAGGTGTACCCTGTCTCAGGACAGGCACCAGAGGCCTCCCCCAACCCTGGCTGGCCTCTTGGACAAGAATGTCAAGGCCAGCTGGGTGCTCAGACGCTGGCAGGCCCATTTCACACAATAGCCGCTTGCTGGAGCAGCACCTGAGGGCTTCACGGACTAGCAGGCTGCAGGACTGACTCAGCCGGGTGAAGTCTGCGTGAACCCATCCACGGTGCTTACCCCTGCCCAAGCCTGGCTCATCTTTTTTTGAGGCAGGGTACCACTATGCAGCCCAGGCTGGCCCTGAACTTGCAGCAGTCCTCCGGTCTTCCCAGTGCTGGGATTCCAGTGTGAGCCACCACACCCATGTTGTCTCCCTTGAACCCCAGGCAGGACTGGAGGCCTCAGGAGCCCCCCATCCCTTTCCCCTTTTCGCCCCTCTGGCTCCAGTCCCCACCCACCCATCCCCACCATGGAAAAGCCCTCTGTGGGGTGGCATCTTCTGCTCTGACTGGGGGACCGACATTCCAGTGTAACGTGTTTCCTTCAGCGTGTGCAAGGGCCTAGCCTCCGTGACCAGCCTTGGGTTTGGATGTCAGGCCAATTCCTAACTTCCCATCTGGCCCGTAGCTGCCGTTCCACCTGCAGCCGCCCTGGTGCCCGACTCCAAAGTCCAAACCTTATTCTCGTTGGCACTGCTGTGGGGGTGAATGGGGCAGGAGAGCCAGAAACAGACCAGAGCACACCCCGCTTTACCCTCCACACTGAGGTCACCAGTCAGAGCAAAAAGGAGGTGGATGCAGGACTCAGTCAGAGAGTGCGGCCACCATCACCACAGCACAAATGCAGCCCGGATCCTTCTAAGCATGGGTCCCGTGTGGACCGCAAAATACTGAGGGGACGGAAGTTACAGGCACTGTTTCAGAGGCCTTCTACGCCAGCTGATTTGACACTGTCCATATTAGCCTGGTGTCAGCTATGGGCAGTCTTGGTGGGACTCAACTGAGGTTCTGCTGCCCCGGGCCAGGTGTGCCTTTGGCTGAGCACATCCTCAGCGATGGTGGGCAGTGTCCTGGTGCGAAGTGGCCAGAGCCCTGGGGGCTATGTGAAGGCCGGGCCGAGACAGCTGGGGCAAAGTGTACCCACTCCTCACAGGCTAAAAGAGAACTACATCCTGCTGAGCACCGATGGCCCAGGGAGGAATGTACTCAAGTTTAAGCCGCCCATGTGCTTCAGCAAGGCCAACGCAGAGCATGTGGTGGCAAAGCTCGATGCCATCCTGACAGGTGAGCTGAGCTGTGCACACACAGCCCCAGAATGCAGTGCAGATCCCCCAGCCAGAGTTCCCCCAGACAGCTTGGCTGCTGTGCATGGCCTGGACAGGTGTCACTGTGGGACATGGGCTTGAGCTTGCACAGCTACCCTGGGTGCAGACAGCAGGGCTGCTGTGTAGGGAGGCGGGGGCAGCTCAATGGCCGGAATGAGACTGCACCAGACCTGGACCCTCCACAGCCCTGGTCGCTTGGGAAAATCAAGGTTAGGCCAAGCTGGACCCTAAAATCTACTTTTTAAGGGCGATCTCGACGAAACGCACAGCTGGGCACTGAGGCTGTCACATGTGCAAAGCTCAGTGGGCCCCTAGACGATAAACTGTTGTCCCATCCCAGGGGTCTGAGTGTCCAGCAATAACCCTCTCAACTGCTAGGTGACTTCAAGCTGGCTATAGGTGCCCCTAAGCCCAGGATCTGGGGCCCTGGGAAGTGGTAGGACTACCATACCATGCAACGTGGAGACTAACTGGCCACAGTGTGGTCTAGGTAGCCAGGCTCAGCACACCAGGACCGTGCAGCAAGCGTGGGATGGGGGCTGAGCCCGCTTACCTCCCAACTGCCACCCGAGCACAGTCTGGGTACCATTTCAGGTATGGAAGAGACGCTGAGAAGCTGTGAGACTCTGAGGCCTCAGGCCTGAAATCAGCCCAGCCGCACATCCATGCTCCAGGTGAGTGAGCCCAAGACCCAGACCTGTCCCTTACCTGGACACTAAGCCACTTCACAGAATATTCTCGTGAGTTCTGCCCCTTCCCTTGGCTCTGAGGTGGCATTACCTGGCCACTCCCTCCAGAGAGCCTCCAGCACTCAGGGTGCACCTGAGAATGGGGGTGAGGGGACCAGGGCTCCTCCTCAGTGGGGAAGGTACCCAAAGGGCTGCTGGCACTCTATCCCCATGCAGACCTGCACAGAGGCCTGGCCCAGGAGGACGTGACCAGCCCTTCCAGGCTGTACCCCGACTGGCTCCACACAACACCCCCGGTGGTCCTGCTCACACAGCTACCCCGCAGTCACCCAGGCTTGGGGGTTTTTACAATTTTATTTCAAAAGCTTGGATAGCTTCAGTATCCAGGTCGTGGCAAAATCAGGACACGTGTAAAATACCTTACAATACATTAGATTCCCAAAGGTACCAAAAAGTACAGTAAAATTAACACTTCCATTACAGGAAATGTATGACACAAATAATATAAAATTAAAAGGTGAATAAAAGGTGACACTGGTTTCCTAAGATACAGTTGACTCTTACAACCAGGGCCCACAGGTCTAGGCTGCAGAGCGGCAGCAGGAAGCAGACCTTCCAATCTGGTGCTGAGTGACCCGGTAACAGAGTCAGCCCCTATTGCCACCCTGGCCTCTTGAGACACCACACGCTGCCTAAAACTAGAGCGCTGCAAATAGTAAACAGGAGAGTGATTTCCAGGGGGAAATTTTTAAATAAGATGCACAGGGGTAGGCCATAGAAAGTTTGCCAAGTTAAATTTGGTACATAATTGTGTTTACTCCGTATCCAAACAAAGCGTGTGCGGTCAGTCGGCCGGCCGCTCCTGCTGCCACCTCAGTATGGCTTGTAGTTATTCTGATGGCCACCACGTCGCTGGCTCTTCCCGTAATTTGTACTACCCTGACCTAGGGACAAGAACAAGTAGCGAGTACTACTTACAGAGCATCTACCTTGTGCCAGGCGCTTGACACGCTCCGCCTCACTGAGCCTCACACCCTCGAAGGGAGCGCCTTCCCCACCTGACCAAGGCCTCGGGCCCGACCTGTCTGACTCCAAAGCCCTGCTGCCAGCGGCCCTGCACTGTCTAACCTGCCTCCTCTGAGCGGGGTGGACGGGGCTCCCTCTCTCCTACTTACTGTAGTCGTAGCCGGGGCCGTAGCCGTAATAGCCATAGGGCGAGTAGTCGTAGCCGCCATAGCCGGGCCCGTAGCCCTGCTGGTAGCCGTAGCCCTGGTTCCAGTAGTTGCCGTAGCCCTGATTCCAACTCTGACTCTGACCTGTGGGGGGAGCAGGGCACAGGGGCCCGGGGACTGTTTAGCACACGCAGGAGCTAGGATGGAGGAGATCCTGCCCTTTGGGTGGCGGGGTCACTATGGCAACTCAGGCAGAAGCCAAGGGCCTGCTGTCCGGTGCAGAGGGCCCTGGGCCCAGCCCTGCACCGCAGACCCTCGAAGGAGTCAGGACGTTAACTTCCCTCACACTCAGGTGGCTACTCGCTCATTGCCCCCGCCCTGGCAGCTTGGCCTTGGAAGATGCAGTTCAGGCTTTGGAGTCAGAGGGCCTGGGATGGAAGCGCCTGGCACAGCTATGCCTACCCTTGGCCCCACCCAGCCCCGGGACCTCAAGTCTCAAGTCAGCCACGGAGCCAAGCACAACCCATCATGCTGCTGCCCAGAGCACAATGCCAACGCTCCCTCTGCGCTGGGGCCCCAAGCAGGATGAAGGGCTCCTCGCTCCACGGAGCCACAGCAGCACAAGCACACAGCAGTCCCAGGAAAATCACTCCCAGCTCCACCTCACTCTGCCCGCCCAGCCCGTGGCAGATGCCAGCAGCTGCCCCAGACAGGCACAGAAGACGCTCTGCAGCCAGGGAGAGGACCCGTCTTCATCCAGAGCCCGCTTACCTCCACCTCCGCCACCGCCGCTGCTACCTCGGTTTCCTCGGTTGCGGTTGCCACGGCCTCCCGAGCCATACTGCTGCTGCTGATAGACCTCTTTGGGCTGGGCCACCTTGATTTCACACTGCGAGTCAAGGACAGCGGGTGAGGCCATGGGCCAAGTCAGCACTTTCACTGGGACAAGCACTCAGCACCAGTGCAGGGGCAGGGCGCATCTGGCCTGGAAGCTTCTGAAGGAACCACAACCAAGAACCTTTCCTGGAAGAAGGCACTAGACTAGGGTCAGACACCTCAGCCAAGACAGCAGCACACACCCAAGTCGGAGCAGAAGACGGACAGGCAGGCAGCACTCTGACCCGCCTGGGTCCCAAGAGGCGTCAGGCACCATGAAGACAACCTTTCTCTCCCCAGAAGAATCTCAGCCCACTCCAACTCCTAAGACAGCCCTCCACCTGACAGATAAAGCAGGCACTCGAGGTGACAGGGCCACCCAAGCACCAGTGCCAGGCTTTGTTGGGGGTGACCCAAGTGTCTGTGTGCCCCAGTCTCTGCCCACTGGAGGGCGTCACGCTGGGGATTTAAGTGCTTCTGCTTAATAAACTACAGCCATGTTTTCTCCTGTTTGTGGGGGCTTCTGTTTTTTTGCAGGGGCAATGGAGACTGAACTTGTGCTTGTCAGGCAGGTGTTGAGCCATATCCCCAGCCTTACAGCCAGGCTCTTCGGCAAACTTGCCATGCCTCCATTAAAATTGGTAAAGTCTGCTGCATTGCGTCCGCGCACAGGCATTCTCTTAAGCACATTCCCTCTACCTAAGTAATATAATCATATTTCCTGTCCTTCTTAGTTAAAAATACTAATCTGCCCAAATCAATTTCAGCAGCCCCAGAAGTTTTAGGGGCACTTTCTCATCACTTCACAGTAGTAGTGCAAATAAAAAGGTCTTTCCACTCAGACCTACACAACTGCCCCATTATGGAATGTTTAGGGGCCTAATTAAAAATCTTCTGTGTGTGGTACTAAAGACTGAACCCAGGGCTTTGCAGGGAGCTCCACCTCCAGCTCTCCTCCATTTTTTTCCCCCTCTTTTTCTTTTTTATCAGTACCAGGGATCGAACTAGGACCACACACTTGCAAGGCAGGGGCTTATGCCGCTGAGCTAAATCCCCAGCCCCGCCCTCCTCGATTTTTTCAAACAGGGTCCTCCTAAGTCACTCAACTGCTCAGGCTGAGCTCCACTTTGCAATCTCCTCAGTCCAGACTGCTCCTCAGTCCACAGGACACTGGGATTACAGGCGTGACTACCAGGCCTGGCCCTAATCCCCAGCTTTATAAACTTCCTGGGAAGATGAGGCTCCCATGATCCCCACCTTATCTGGTTGCCACTCCTGCTGTGGCAGAGCTGCCCACACCCAGCCACACCCTCGCCTCCTAACTGCCAACTCAAGAACTCTTCTCTCCCCTACCAGAGTTCAGAGGAGCCACACGCCTCACTGTGTGACTCCACATTTGAAGGGAAGACAGGCTGGACTGAAAGTGGCCAGAGTTCTCTGAGATGTTGCCCTGGGGGCAGCTGACCAAGTTGGGTGCCTGAAGTGGACAGACAAGCTCCAGAGCAGAAACAGCGTTACTAGAGTAGACCAGGCCTCATGCGACACGGCCTGGGCTGTTGATCTAGAACAGTGGCCACACAACCTCCCATCAGAATCTAGGTGACTACTAGGATGCTCCAGTCACACAAGCCGATTTCCTGCACACACCCTCCCGTCCTTCTAGCTGGGCGCCTTCTGCAGGACAGGACCACCTGCACTAAACAAGGGGGACACACACTTCAGTCACAGAACTCCCCCTGCCCTGCTCCTGCCAGGGCCAGCTCTCCATGACAGGGGGCAAGGCATGCAACTGAGATACCTTACCTTACTTCCACTGATGGTGTGGAATTTTTTCTCCAGAACCTTCTTCACAGGCTCCTCTTCTTTAAAAGTGATAAAAACAAAACCTCGTCTTTTATTCAACTTGGGATCCATTGGAAGCTCAATGGCCTCAATCTGTAAAAACACAAGCTAGGCTCAGAACCAAAGCTCCCATATCTCAGGAAACACAGAACTCACAGCAAAGACCTACTAGAGGCCCAAGAGTAAGAAGCCTGGCCACAGACTGCAGCTGGCCCAGGTGACTGGGGAGCAAACAACTCACTCACCTCCCCAAAATCGCCAAAGTATTCCCTGATCTTCTCTTCAGTGGCTTCAGGATTCAGGCCTCCTACGAAGATTTTCTTCACAGGGTCCTTCTTCATAGCCATGGCCTTTTTGGGGTCAATGACTCGGCCATCCAGCCTGTGTTCCTTCTGGTCTAGGACCTGTTCCAAGCAGATGGGATCAGGCCCTACTTAACAATCCAGCCCTGTGACCCACACATCCTGTTCCCTCTAAACTGTGCCCAGCCAATCTATCACCTTGTCCTTTCCAAACCTCCACTGGTCCTCCCTCCGACAGGCCTGTGCCCATGCTGTGCACCCCTTCTCTTCCCGTCAAGGGTCCCAGGCTCCATTTCCTTCCAGGAAAGTAGCGCTGATTACTTAAGCAGACAGGCTAGAGACAGCTGCTGGGAGTGCAGTCCTCCTTAGCCTGTAACTAGCTATATCATCTTCCTATTTAGTGTTCTCCAACCCTTGGGATTTGTTTTTTCCGGTAAAACTAAGCTAAACTGCCTCCCCTCATAGCAATTTTGGACTGCTTTCCTGCTTCCCACAGTAAAGTGTTTTAGCACTGTGCCCAAGAACAGATAAATACAAAAGTAAGCAACGTGCAGCATCACTTCCCTGACCCTCTCCACAACACACCCCACCCCATTCTATTCCTTCAAAGGGAATGTAAGTTGCCCAGCGCTGTCCCAAACCATTTCACCACAGCAGCGCTCAAGCTAAAGGGGCTGTCTGCCCAACCCTGTCCTACATGTTACTCAGCTTACCTTTTCCACGCTGGTGGCATCTTTAAAGAGGATAAACCCAAACCCTCTAGACCGTCCAGTATTTGGATCCATCTTTATTGTACAATCAACGACCTCTCCAAATTTAGTAAAATAGTCCTTCAAATCTTTTTTGCTTGTATCCCAGCTCAGACCACCAACGAACATTTTTCTGAAAATAGTGGGGTAGAACACATGGCAACAAACGTTATGTGAGGTATTTTACGATTCCAAGCAGTAATAGCCCTGACTAATCTCTCTGAGGATTAAAGCCCTCATCCCGTCGACAACAAAATCCACACCCAACCAAAGGCACTATTTGTGAAGGATACTAAACCTGCCCTGTCCTGCCACCTCAAGCCAACCTGAACCCCACTGCCCCCCATTTTTTATCTAATCTGGACCCTAACTAAAAACCTATCATCACACCAGGAGTGGGTACCTGAATCCCACCACTGAAAACTAACGTGCCCTACACAACCGCAGAACTCGGGGTAGCGCCCCTTCCGGTCTGCACCTCCCCGCAGCTCGCTGCAAGGAACTCCGAGCTTCCTGGGGCCGAGACCGCGCCGAGTTCAGACCGTGGCTCCGCCTTCGGCAGGAGGCGGAGGGAGGCCCGAGCCCTGCGCGCCAACTCCACCCACGCTGCCCCGGTTCAACCCTCGACCCGGACGGCCAGGCCCGGAGCCGCCCGCTCCACGACTACCGGGCCGCCTGCCCGCCCGCCGGGACGCCAGCTCCAGCCGCAGCGCGCCAGCGGGCCCCGCGGCGCCCGGGCAGCCCCTACCAACTCCGGCCAAGTCCGGCGCGGGCCCGGTCTGCGGGCCGCCCCTCCCCCCGCCGCGTGGCGCCAACAAAAGGCGGCCCCGGAACAAAGGCGGCGCCCCGGCCGCCTGCGCCGCACCTACCCCGCGTCTTCCTCGTTCTTGCTGGCGTTGATCTGGTCCCCCTCCGCACCGTTCTGGTTGCCGCTCGGCGGCGCCGCGGTTCCGCCTCCGGACCCCGCCGCGGTCCCGCTGCCGGCCCCGGCCGGCGACTCGCCCTCGGGGGCGGCCTCGTGTCCGTTCTCGGTGGCGCCCGCCGTCTCCATGGGCTGCTCCTCACCCGCTTCCGACATGGTTGACCAAGCCGCGCCGACTCCTGCAGCGAGTGAGCAGACAGCGCATCAGGCGGGCTCGGCTCTCGCCCGGCTCCCGCCCGCAGCCCGCGGCCCGGCCGCTCACCTCGCCACCGATGACGCCGCCGCGGGGCCCGCTCGTCCCCACCCGCCGGGGAAGGCGCCGCGGGCTCGGCTGCGTTCAAACTCGCGCCGCCCGGACCTCGCCTCCGTCAGCCGACGGAGTCGCTCCGGCTAAGTCCCCCCCTCCGCGACCCTCGCAGCACGGAAACCAGCACCCGCCGCCTAGCTCTGGCCCGCGCGCTGCCGCCGCTTGACAATGCCGACTCGTGGCGCTCTTTATAATGCCGGAGCCGGGAGCACCTCGTAACAAAGGACGTGTCGATTGGCTGTCTACACACTTCACTCAACCTAGCACCGGCTTCTTATTGGACCTGACGGCGCGCGCGCTCTAGATCCGGGCGGGCTTTGTCCTCGTTTTAGAACGCGCGCAAGTCGGGGCGCCGCGACGGGTCCGCGGCAGGTGTGAGCGGAGCCTTGGGGCTGTGAACCCGAGGAGCAGCTTCCGGCCGGCCCCGCACGCCCCGTCCCGCGGTGCTGGCCTTGGCCTCCCCAAGTCCCAAAAAAGGGAACAGAGCGCGACAAAGTCTCGAACCCTGGTCCCTCGGATGGAGGAGCAAAGCGGGGCTCCCAAGCAGAGCGCATGGGCTCCCCGAGGCCGTCCCCTCCACCCGTGTAGCCCGCAGGCTCACTGGCCCCAGTCCCGGAAGCGCGCGCTCCGCCCTTTGCCCCTCCCCCGCCAAGGGCTTGGGACCTGGCCCGCAGTGCTGCGCCAAAAACTGTCCTGGTTCGGAGTTCCCCACTCTGGGCGCCTGGCACCGCGTCCCTTCTGTTTACTTAAATTTTTTTTCCCTTTAAATTTGTGTGCCTTTAGCTCGGTGTGCTGGCTCGCACTTATAATCCCAGCTCCCGGGAGGCTGGGACAAGAGGACTGCCGCGAGTTCGAGGCCAGCCTAAACTACCCTCTCATAAAAACCAGAGAAATACTGAAAAATTCTTGTGCTTTTGCTGCATTTGTGTTTTACAACACATTGTTCCCATGAAAACATGTATTTTGTACTTGACCAGATGCAGACCCTAAATACAGAGCATCTTCCAAGACATTGAGGTTTTCAGTTACTAACACCGGGCTCTGATGGACCCCAGCTGCACCAGGTACAAGGCCATAGCTCGACACCCCAAACCTGCTCCATGAGAGGCCTGCCTTCACGCCCAGCATACACACAACCCTTCAGCATGGAGCAGCAGCGCATTCTCAAAATGTATTCCGATCGTTCCGTAATTCACAAACTCCATTTGGGGGCAGGATATGGGACTCAATTCCGGACCTCGCGCTTAATGAGTTCTTTTTTTGTCTGCACTGGCCAGGTAGGTTTTGCGCCAGTTAACTGTCCCCACTGTGCTCAGCTCCCGCTGAGCTGAGCCACTTGCACATCCCCAGATGGCCTGCTGTCTACTCAGTGACCAACTGTGGCTCCAGCAGGGGCAACCTGTGAACTGCGGATCAAAACCTGCAGAGGAAGTCCTCGCCCTGACTTGGGATGAATGCCACGGAGACACTCGGGGCTCCTAGAACCTTGTGCCCAGGAGCCTCCGTCTTGTTGTGTGGTCTGCGGGAAGCATTGCCGCCAGGTATGGGCTGGGATAGGGCCTCTCTCCAACCATACCTGAGGCTGAAGCTCCTGCCCGTGGCCTCAGCTAACTGCAGGGTTCGGGAGCCGCCCACCCCATCCCTGCAGCTCTGCAATGTAGGCTCCAGGGGGTTGTTTTATTCCCTGGGGTTCCCCAGCTCTCTCCTCCCTGAGCTTTTCCTCTTGCCCTGCAGTTCTCTGCTCCAGGCCCTCCTGCCTCCTCCATACCTGTGTTACGGGGCCACTGCTGTCCCGGTGGAGGTGTGCTCCATTCCTAACTGCTGCTTCCTGTGGATGTGACCGTGTGTGGAAACAGGGTCTTTGCAAGTGCAGTCAAGTCAGTGATGCACAAGGGAACTAGAATAGTGACTAGCTGAGGCAGGAGGATTGCAAGTTCTGCCTGGGCAGCTTAGCAAGAGCCTGTCTCAAAATTAAAAGGCTGGGGATATGTGTCACTGAGAGAGCACCGGCCTAACATGCACAAGCCCCGGGTTCAGCAACAAAAAAAGGTGAGGTCATGTTGGAATAGGATGGAGCCTTAATCCAAGTACTCAGGAGGCTGAGGCAGGAGGCTCAAAGGTCAGGCCAGCCTGAACTACCTATGCAGAGCATGTCTTAACACACTGAGAGGAGGAAGAGAGGGAAGAGGAGGAGGAAGAAGAAGACAGCACAGCCAGGTGTGGTGCTAAGCACGCCTCTAACCCCAGCAAGATGATCGCCATTTTGAAGCCAGTCTGGGCTATAAGGCGAGGCCCAGGCCGGTATGGAGGGGAAACATCAGAGGCTAGCAGAGGTGTCTCTAGGAACTTGGCCTGGAGTAGGCCCTACCAGCACCTTGATTCTGAACATCTGGCCTGCAGAAGTGGGAGAGAATGGATTTTTTTTTTTTTTTTGAGGCAGGGTCTTACAAACTGGCCTTGAACTCGCTATGTAGCTGGCCTTGAAATACCAGTGATCCTCTTGCCTTCTCCTCCCAAGTGCTGGGATGACAGGCATGCGCCACCATGTCTGGCTTAGCTTTTATTTATTTTATTTTATTTTTTGTGGTATTAAGGGTTTGGCCTGAGGCCTTCACACCAAGCTACTGTGATAGTTACCTGTGGTATCAACTTGAATAGGAAACGCCCAGCTGACTGGGTAGCACAGCTCTACATGCGGGTGATAGATATGCCCATTAAAGCAGAGCCCCAGCTGGTGTGGGTGGCACCAATCAGCAGGCTTGGAGCCTGCAAGGGATGAGGAGAAAGGAAAGTTCACTTCTGCTTCATTGGAGGAGCTCTTGTCTTTGCCCTTCTCTTTGCTTGATCTTTGCTTATTTTTATTTTTTATTTGTCTTAGAGACAGGATCTCACTGTATAGTTCAGGCTGGCCTCAAGCTCACAGGAGTCGTCCTGCCTCAGCCTCCCAAGTGAGATTACAAGTGTATGCCACTATGCTCTGATTTTTTTTTTCTTACAGTTACAGTGATACCTCAGTCTCTTGGTTTTATAATTCTGGGGAAGATGGCTGTTTGTGTTTGTGTGGGGGAAGACAGCCATGGTCACGTGTGTCCCCCAATGGGGAGTTTGTGAACGGAAGCGAAATTTTGCCAAACACTTTTGTGAACTCAAGTGTCTGGATACACAAGTGTTTGTGAGGCATGGCATTACTGTGTATTTAATCAAATCTGTTCATCTAGTAACCTAAGTGATATAGCTACATCTCCAGCCCTTTTTGAGACAGTCAAGCTGGGCTTAAACATGATCCTCCTGCCTCAGCTTCCTAGAGCATCAGGGTTATAGTGCTCTGGGAACACTGACCACCCAGCAACAGGAAACAGGACCGTCACTTGGGTCCTCTTTCCTCCTCCCAATGCCAAGGAGAGGGCTCCAAGGGTGTGAGTTCCCGAGACCAGGCCCTGCCAGACTCCTGCAGGACAGCCAAGGGTGCGGGGCGTAAGGACAGAGGTAACAGGCTCAGTCAACACCAGCAGGCTCGCCGGCTGGGACTGAGCTAAATACCCCTACCATGCATGTGCATGTGTGTGTTCATGCGCGCGCGCACGCGCACACACACACACACACACACACACACGGCCCTTACACTTAGCTATACCCCCGGAACTTTTTTTTTTAGTACCAGGGATTGAACTCATGGTCTCCTGCTGGCTAGGCAAGTGCTTGTGCCACTGAGCTAAATCCCTGGCCTTATTTCTCATTTTTTGAGACAGGGCAGATGGCTACGCCAGCCTGCATGGGCTCCACTTGCGATCCTCCCGCCTCAGCATCCTGGGCGTGCTGGACCGACCACAGGCCCCCACCCTGACAGTCTTTCTGCGGCTGCAGTATGGAAGGAGGAAGCGTATGCTCTCTCTTTTTTCTCACTACTGGAGATTGAACCTGGGTTTCCACACTGAGCTACATCCCCAGTTCCCTGTATGCTTTTTATTTTGAGATAAGGTGTCACCAAGATGCTAAATGTCCAAGGCTGGGCTTGAAACTTCTGGCTCTGCCCTGCTGTGGCTCTGTTCAACTCTAGCTCCGCTCTCATCTTTTCCTTCCGTCCCCTCTGCCTGCCTTCCTCTCTCTGTCTCTGTCTCTGTCTGTCTGTCTCTCTCTCTTTCAACAGTCTTCTTGCCTCAGCTTCCCAAGTACTGGAATTCCAGGTGTGTGTCACCAACTCAGCTGAGTTTGAATTTTCAGTCCTTCTGTCTCAGCCTTCTCGAGTGCTGAGACTACAAGTCTGGCATAAATTTCTTGCTTCTTGTCACTTGCTTGGTTCTGTAGCCTTTGGATACACCTAGTTTATTTTCCCAGTTCAGCACAAACCCAGTCCTGTGGGAGCCTCGGGGCTCCCTAGCCTCTCTCCCCCTCCCCAGTGCAATTGGTGGTCCCCTGACACCCTGCCCACCTCTCTCCTGTCACACCCTTCACTGAGCCTGGCCCACTGCTACAACAGACAGGGCACACAGGGCACACACGGGCATGATTTCAAACGACCCAGGGAGCACAGTGGGGAGCACCCTTTGCTTCGGGTACCTGCAAGGCTGAGGCAGGAGGATCACTTGAGCCCTCAAGTTTGAGACCAGCCTGGTATATTCAGCAAGATCTTGTCACAAAATAAAAAAATACAAAGGACCTCAGTGTGTAGACCCTGGGTTCAAACCCTGTCCCAGGGATGAAACACCCGACTACTTCACACAAGGTTGTGAGTTCAATCCCCGGTACCAAAAAAAAAACACCGGACTACCTCGGCTTCCACCCACAGGGGCCGGCTGAGCATGTCTGGGCAGCAGGGCAGTAGGCTGGACCTGTCAGAGACCAGGTCCCAGCACAGCGCCAAGTGCTCCCGGCCTGGATGTGGACCGCGCGCCTGAGAGGTGGACAGAGCGGGACACGGAGGCGCTGTCCGTGCGGGCGTCCTGTGTCTCCTGGGCGCACAGGCACTGTTACTGCTGCCTCCACCCTTCCCCTTCTTTGGCCCAAGTCCATTCCACAGAGCCGAGTCTTCCCCTGCCCCTTCTGCCCTCACTTTCCAAAGGAAGCCCCAGCACTGTTTTTGGTCTGTTTCACTCGAGCCTCTATTCGAGGCGTGAAGTGCCGGGCTAAGTCTGCCTGGCAAGCTGGGTCTAAAAGAGCTGCCTGACAACAGTCTGTCTGTC